GGGGGGAAAAATCCTGAACCCATCTAACCCCAGAACCGCAAGCCCAAATCTCAAAAAAAAAGTACGCTCCTAGAACTCGCAAAGCCTAGACCCCTAAAACCCCCAAAGCCCTGAAACCCTTCCAGATCCCAACTGAAGCCCAGAGAGGATCTCATGTTGCGCATCGCGCCTCTGGCGCCTGCCCGGAGTCCCAGGATTGGAATTCGTAGTCCAATGTTTTGGGGTGTAGAGTGTAGGCTTGAACACACATTAATTCTTCGTTCTTTTCGGTTTGTGTTAGTAGGTTGAAGGGTTTAAAGAGTTAGAGTTTACATTTAGGTTGTAGGGTTTAGGTTGTGGGGTTTAAGGCTTTTGGTTTCTACCCTGAGAATTTAGGGTTGGGGGTTGGGGACGTCAGGTGGAAATCTTAAAGCGTAAGGCTTTCATTCGAGCCTATGCTGGCAATGCGTGCAATGTTACTGGTATTGACCCCCCACAATTTCAAATGACTTGCTGCGGGTTAGTAAGTAGGAAATAAGGGAAGCTAGTATTTCGGGATTATCTAGGGGTTAGACTCCCTGATTCCTTACCACCCAGTAAGATGAAGCTTCTGTCATTTCAGGTGGATAAAGGGGCCCATGCTCAGAAGCTCTCATTTTTGCCGGTTGTGTTTTGGGGGTTCACGCTCAGGGACTGAAGAGCCTTGTGGCCTGAAGACATTCTGGTAGTATCCACCCCGGCTAACCCTCTGGCGACAAGACGAACTGCCCTCCCCCAAACAAACATGGACGCTGATTTGGTACCCGCTTACAAAAAAGACAGTAGTCTTTATAGGTTAAGTTTGGGGCTTCCATTTTTTCCTTGGGGAAGATACTTCCAAATGAGTGTATTACTCAGTGCCTGTTTACCAGAGGTCAGAGTCCTGAAAGGGATTCAACAACACCTTGTAAAGACCTGTTCGACCAGCTTCGGCCTCTGGACTCTGGACTGCTGCTCCACCCTGAACCCTTCCATGACCCCTTCTCCGCTATAAATATCAAGCCTAGGTCCCCTAGAACCTTGAATGGACCCTGCACCTGCAATGTAGTAGAATCATTACCATGACATTTCCCTCATAGCCCTCATATATAATATGGTAGAAAGAGACCCCAACCAGGACCCTATTAAAGTTTTAAGCCCCTTCATTACATCCCAAGCCCCGTAAGCCTGAACTGTAGAACCCTTCAGCCTACACCTGTAAATCCCAGCCCCCTAGCACAAACCCTATATTGCCTCAGTATAACCCTTGTATCCATTGCGCATTCGGTGTCTTTTTCTTTGTGATTCTTAATATTCTTAGGGAGACCTCAAACCCTACACCCTAAAGCCCCAAGCCCTAAAACCATGAACCCCGAACTAATCCTTAAGCCTCCTTAAGACCCTAAACCCAAACTAAATCGCCAGTTAGAGAACCCCACATAAGCCCGAAACCCTATAGATCTCTGTGCGTCGCCTGAAGCCGCGCTACATCCTTATACGCACATATATATATATGTATGTATACATGCACACGTATATACATCCCTTACTGCTGCAGGTGCTTGGGGTTGCACGCAAAAGCCTCTTTTGCCAACGCCTGAGGCTGAAGGGCTCGCAGCTGAGTCCAAGCAGGACTTCACGCTGAAGGTGCTGTCGTCAGAGCTTTTGGCAGGTTTCAGAAGTGTTTGGGTTTAGGGGGTGCAGATTTTAGGTTTGAGGAGTTTAGGTGTGCAGGGGTGTAGATTTTAGGGGTTTTGGAGTTTAGGGGTTTGGGGTTTTGGGGGTGTTGCCTTTGGGATGTTGATTGAAGGGTTTCTTCTTTCGGCAAGGACTTGAAGGTTTAGGCGTCTGCAGTTTGGGTTTCCGGGATTACGGTTCAGGTTTCAGGGTTTCAGGCTTAACAGGGGCAATCTCGGGATCCTACAAGGGTTACGTAAGGACCATCTACAGTTTAAGGGCACCTCCAAGTTAGCGTACATTTTGGGCCCTTTCTACCGCCCTACCTGCCTTACCCCCAGCCCCAATATCTTAAGTCCAAAACCTTACACCTCTAAGCCATAAACCCAAAACACTAACCCGAACTTCAAACTGCAAACCTCAAACCTTAAACCCCAAGTCCTCGGCCCTGAGCGCTGACCAGGTGGAGGCCCTGTGCCAGTCGGTGGAGCAGAAGAACATTGCCGCTCTGCTGAACTTGGGGGGTTCCCAAAATTACAGGTAATGGGGATGCCATGGGATCATGGAAAAGAGCATGGCAACTACAACTTAGGGTTTAGGGTTTTCAGGATTTAGGGCTTCCGCAAAAGTCGGAGAATTTTTTGGGGCTCCCCATAATAAGGATTATAGTATTTAAGGGTCTATACTGGGGTCTGAAGTACACCATTCTTACATAGCAAGGGCTTTTTGGGAAACAGTATGTGCTTTCGTTGCTTCTGAGGCTCCAATCAACAGCATATCGCCAGAGTCGAGTAGAGGCTAAGGAACAGAATGTCACAGGCGCTTAGGCCTTGGGTTTTCGCAGGCTGAGGATTCAGGGTGTAGTGATTGTCAAGCGGGGAAGGGGAGCGCTTGGGCGCCTGTCGCATGAGAAGCGTACCAAGTGCCTACAAAACAACGAATCTTGATACTTGGTGCAAGCCACACATCTTCGGCTTTCAATAGTTGCTGCCTCATGAAGAAGTTTTCGGGCGGCCATGATTTCATTTTGTCCTTTGCAAACTTGTTTACCGACAGGCGAAACCCAGCACCGATACCCCAATCTTTTGGCACGAGATCATGTGGGCTGTGAAAGCTAAAGTCTGCTTTTGGGTCCCACTTATAACATGGCTGAAAAAATGCAGTATACGCCACGAAATAACTGATCTGACAGGCCCTGCGAATTCTGGCCATAATTGCCCCCTTGAAAGCGTAATCCTTCCCCCTTGTATTAACGCATCCCACCTGCCTAAGACTGAATATTCCCGCTACGTCATGTTGTAGCACGCTGGGAGATTCAACACGGGGGGGGGGAGGGGGGTACTAGCGGGAGGCAAAAAAAAACTGTAGTGTTGTTTCAATGTTCTGTTCCATTTGTTTCTCAATACACCCTGCACCCCCAAAAGATCCAAAGAACATGTAAAATTCCAGCTTCTTTTCCATTTCCCTATAAATCCCCGTGGACCTTTTGGGGGTGTGGGTCTTCATTTCCCTAATATGGGCCTCTAGGCATTTTCGGGGACCTTAAGGGTACATATAGGGTATAGTCAAAACTCCTTAAAGGGGGTTATATAGGGGATTAAATAGGGGACTACTATAGGGGTTATTAAAGGGGATGCTGGGAGTTTAGACTATGGCTCATATAGGGTATATAGTAGGTATATAAGGATCCCAATGTTAAGTACCCATACCAGGGGCCCATGGTTTCAACCTTTGATTTAGGGGGTGGGGAGTACTGAGAGATGCCCTTTTGCGCTGCAAGTTTCCGCAGGAGGCTTTGGAGCAGAAGGCCGAGAAGGCCAATGCTGTCAGGTTTAGGGTGCCTTAGTTAGGGTTATGAGAATTTAGGGCTCAGGGTTTATGGAGGGTTTCAGTCTCAAACTTTAGGACGGTTGGAGCTATGAGGATTTCGCGCTTATCGTATTGAAGCAACTTGCGTTGCTGCTCAGAGGAGTGTGTGTAGCACCATTACACAGAAGTATGACTGAATGGGGTCCTAGAGGTGTGTCCTTGAGGAGCACCATCAATACGAATGCTTACCTCATGTACAAGGGATTCCCCGGCCACTCTTCACAAGGACACTGCCCAAAGGGCTTTGCTGGGCGCCATTTGGGATTCCTTGCTAACCAGCACATATTCGGGAGGGACCTGCATGGGAGGAGCTTCGAAGGTTTGGGACCTGTTGGGAGTTCAAGGTTTAGAAGTTTAGGTAAGGTTTAGTCTAGTTCTGTGCTCCAGCATTTGTACGGAGGATGTCGTGCTCCTGTGTCATATCCTTCAGCTTGTTTTCGTTCCGTTCCATCTTCACGCTCTTTGGGTGTTCTGATGGTGCTATAAAACTGGCCAAGGCCTTCTTTTCTTTTACATGGGCTCTACCGATTTGTCCTCAAGATTGCAGTGCAGGAAAGCCTAGCTTGCATTATTCCCAACCGGTGCTTAAAGGGGGGGAGGGGGGGAAGTGAATATAGGGACTATTATATGGGTCTATATGGGGATGATGTGGGCACCTTAAACCCTAAGCCTGTATAAGGATCCACTCCCCCACTCCCTTAAAGCACCAGTGCTGGTCCAGTTGCTGGGTTCAAGTGGCCTTTCGTGTCTTGGGCTTTGGCTATACCCCTGAGACCCATTTAATTTAGGCCCCTACAGCGGTGTGCTGTACTATAGTTGATGTTGTCAACTAGAACCCAGAGGTTGGGTGTAAGGTTCCACTCTTCAGCTCTAAAGGTGGATTTGAAAGTTAGGGTTTAGGGTTTAGGGTTTAGTGTTTAGGGGTTTAGGGTTTAGGGTTTAGGGTTTGCACGGATGATGTTGTTTGGGTTGTTGGTGGTACTAACCATTTCCATGTCCCAGCGAGGTGTTCCATATTGGGGGATTGAGAGTAGCTTGGGAAGACCCACCATGAGTTAAGAACTGCTACAGGGATTCCTGGTAGTTTCCCGAAATAAGGGGACCCCAATATAGACCCCCAAAATGCTATAATCCATCTTATTGGGACCCCCCAAATGGTACCCCTCATTTTGGGAAACCTTCTCCTTAGCAGCCTTAGCAAGAACTCCTGACAGGGGCCCCTTCTTTTGGACTACGTAATCCTACCAGCTTTGGAAGGGAGACACGACATTTTGCCCAAGAGAGATATTGTTCCCTTATTTCCTACTAAGAACCAATAAGTTGAAGCGTTCCTGAGCCTGCCAAACATGGAGCCAACGTTTGCTCACAATTACTACGATAATTGCTATCATTATTGCTTATTATCACTATGACTGATACTACTATAATCTCTGCTTGCATGAGCCCACGCCTGCCAGATCCAAAACGGGCAGAGGACCGAAGCAGAGAAGCTGGTAGGAGCTGAATCCTCAGATGAGTAGTATTTTATTTGGGGATACTATGGTACCCATTGTAGAGTAAGATTATATCCTCCTTTTGGGTATAGTATTTTATATAAGGAATAGTGTCTTACTGGGTTTAACCACCAAAAAATGCAACTCAGATAGCCCGGATATTGGCAGGTAGTCGTCACCCTTCCTATGTGACCCCCCCTATATAACTCCTATGCACCCTCATTATCTCTATGTAACCCATAAAACCCCTATAGAATCCTTATATACCCCCGATAATCCCTACATAACCCCTAGGGCCCTAGAGGCACGCAACCATTGTCATCCCATGTGACCGCCATCTCACCCTTAGGTTAGGGATTGGGGCCAGGGTTTAGGGTTTAGGGCCATCTCACCCCAAGGCAGCCCTGTAATCTCGCTTTTCAACCCCTACAGAATTCCTTTCATTCCCCACATAAACCCTCTGCAACCCTTGTTTATTCCTATTTTCCCTGTATAACCCCAACACTGTAGTTTTGAGCTAGTCGCAAGCACTTACAAGGTAGAGTTACAGGATGCAAGTTAGTGGCTTTGCGCGACAGGGGGTCCCCTTGGCGAATTGGGCGTTAGTAGTATAGTTCAGGGTGTAGGGTCTAGGATTAGTAGGGAATGAGGGAATGCAGTACAGCATTTAGGGTTTAGGGTTAGCAGGGAATAAGGGAGTATATTATATAGGGATCATATTCCCTTATTTCCTACTTGGCACCAGCAAGTTGGGGACCGTGGGGCAGTACAGATATCATGAGGTTGGTTTGAGAAATTCTAGCTTTATATGTCAAACTCTAGTTTTGTATGTCAAGTAGGGTAGTGTATGTCCAAGGATGTATGGCAGACATTGGCGCTTACGCTTGCACCAGGGTTTACGGTTGAGCGTGTTTGGCTTTTGATTTCCTCGGCATTTTCAAGCGTTGCTTGATGTTTGTGCCAACCTTTTTTGCTATTAGCCAGGTTAGAGACCACTGCTCTAGTCCAGCCTTTAGTCAGTCTCATTCTCTTTGGACATCTTGGCGATGATTCTTCGCAGTCAGCCAACCCCAACCATCACTGTGCAACCCCAACTGGGTGCGCAAGCCTAGCCAAAACCCCAAACTCTAACCGCTCTAGATCTAAGGGTAGCAGTTGGGGCCTCCAGGCTCCAGTACGTGCCTTTAGCCTTCTTTTCTCAGATTGGAAAGACTCTTCAGGGTATGCATGGGGCATGTACTGGTGCTGAATCGGGAGTAAGGGAATATACGGGGTTTAGGGTCCAGTAGGGAATGAGGGAATATGCTATATAGAGCGTATGTCAGGATCATATTCGTTTATTCCTGACTGAGAACCAGCAAGTGTACCAGATACAAATAGGGACCCCAACTCAGGGGCCCTCACGAAGGCCCGGTGTTCAGGCTAGGGTGCTGATGCTACGGAATGAAGGAATGGACGAGAAACCGACAACTGTTATGTTATAGTATGCTATAGGGGTTATGTTGGGGTTCCGATCCACTCCCCTACGCCCTACTAAGACCCAGCAAGTGGCGTCGCGACTACTTTTAGGGCCCAGGGGCATCCTCTAGGTTTGTAGTAACGCAACTACCCGCCCAGGGGCTACTATGGGGGTGTAACGGATCTCCACCGCTGTCTGTGCATGCTATGAAGTGGGGGCAGTACTCACTAAATAGGCTACAGCTCATATACGAATACCCTATATAAACCTCTACATATCCCTTTAAAGGGACCTAGGGTTTTCATTTTCTTCTCCATTATCCCTATATAACCCGAGTAGGAAAACATTGAGGGAGATGCATTGGTGGAGCGTCGAAGCCCTGAACCCCAAAGCTGTCTCTGGTTTGTGGGTGTCCTCAACCTGCCATCCAAACTCCAAACACTACAAAGGCTATAGTCTAAACTCCTAGGATCCCCCTTTCTAATGGAGAATCAAATGGAAAAGAAAATGGAAAATGAAATGGAAACTGGGATTATATAGGCAATTATAGGGGTTATAGTCTAAACTCCTAGTATCCCCCTTAAACACCCCTAGAGTAGTCCCCTATATATTCCCCTATGTAACCCCCCCTTTAGGAGTTCAGACTATAGCTTACATATCCCTACATGGCACCGCAGAAGCCCCTGCAATGGATCAAATCACATAAGGGTTTAGGGTTTAGGGTTTAGAATCACCTCCTCCTCTTTACCCCCCCTGAAAACAAGTATTCCCACTATGGTAAATTATTGTAGATGGGGAAGATGTATCATAGGAGAGGTGGACTTTGACGTTAGGGGTGGGGGGGGAGTTTATTCCTTAAGCCCTAACACCCTAAGCCTGAATTCTCCCCAAACTCGAAGCCCTGATTCCCCTAAACCCTAAGCCCCAAGTTCCCTCAACCCTAGGCCCTAACGCCTCCAAACCCTAAGCCCGGACTTCCCTAAATCCCTAGCACCCCTCAACTAAATAAGCTATAGTCTAAACTCCTAGTATCCCCCTCAAGAACTCCTATAAAACTTCCCTGTATAATCCTCCATATAACCCCCCCTTCAAGCAGCCTAGACCCGAAAGCCTAAACCCTAAACCCTATACATATATGTATATATATATATAAAATACCCTACCCTAAACCCTAAACCCTATACAACCGCCCTTTAAGCTCAAATAACGAAGCAGAGCTTTCCAAGGCAATTTGCTTGCCTCTGGCTGCGAAGGACTTGGAGGCCGCCTTGGATATCGCCAAGGCGCCCGGGGTGTAAAAGTTTAGGGTTTAGGGTTTAGGATTTGGGGTTTAGGATTTGGGGTTTAGGTTTTGGGTTCAGGATTTAGGGTTTAGGGAGTAGGGTTTAGGGTTCAGGTTTTAGGGTTTAGGGCTTGTATGGGTTATATCGGGGTATACATATATATATACACATATGTATACGTAAGGGTAATATGGGCCTGTAGGGGTTAAACAATATACAACATAGGGATGTATTTGGGTGTAGGGTTTCGTGGCATCTAGGGTCATGAAAGGATGTGTGCTTGGGGTTTAGGATTGTTCTGAAGGCCCCTTGGAACAACAGAGACAATTGGGAGCAGATTTCCTTAAAGTGCCACCCTAACCCCAAAATGAGGCCTACCGGCCTACGGTATGGCAACTTTTGGAGACAGGTATTTCGAACAGTTACCACATAAGGGACTTTCTAGAATGGGGGCCGCGCCTGGAGATTCATTGTTTAAGGGTCTAGAGTTTAGGGTTTCGCAGAGTTTGATGGGGATGTGTTGCACAAGGTCAAAACTAGATGTAACCCAAAGCCTCAACCCTAAACCCTAAACCTTAAAAACCTTAAACCCTAAACCCTAAATCCTAAACCCCTAAACCCTAAACGTTAAACATAGCACTTGGAACTCTGCCATGATTTTGACATGGTGTCTTGTCGGTTTGTTTCAGCCCACATGTGCTTGTAAACGGTAGGCTCCGCACCATGCAGGTTTAGGGTTTAGGGTTTAGGGTTCACAGCCCGCAGCGCTTTATTATGTACCTATGAAAGACAGAGCCTGCAGCCACATGTGTCCCTAAACGCTATAAGTCCTCAGTTCCAGTGTGTTCCATTCTAAGCAATTCAGTCCCTGCGCTTTTGGCCATCAAACGCCAGACCCGATTGAAACTAATCATCACCTGCTAGCGTTTATGGCTCCAGGGGAATCAGGTGGGACATCACATGGCAGCTGAAATTATCTGGTCCCAACCTGCTAATGATGAATGCGTCCAGTTTCTATTCCAATGTAGATATGATGTCAAGTTGGGCGGGGTAGAACGTTGATTGTTAGAAGGGAGGTGATTGCGCAGGCCCGTGTGAAAAGCAACGCGTGCCCGCAAGGCCGAAGCTCTGGAGAAGCTCGATGCCAGCGCAGCCCCTGGGGGTTGGAATGGCTCCTAATTTCTGTACAATCGTCACTTTGTTCCGACTATAACCTTACTGGGGGTTAGTAGGGAATAGGGGAATACATTATATAGAGGTCATATAATGATCATATCCCCCTACCCCCTACTAACCACCAGTAAGCTACAGTCTTACTCCATGAAAGTTTTGAACTAATGCAGACCCCTGATTAATAAACCTCCTCCCCTTAATAGGGGATTCAATAGCGATCCTACTGTTAAGGCCATTAAAAGGAGGGGGTTTATTAATCATATTAGGCAAGAGGTCATATTTCACTGCGAAATTGTTCGTTGGCCTATACATGCATTTTGGTCAGAGATGTTCATCCCCTCAACTTTTTGATTCAGATGTGTTATCTCTGTCCTTAGCTCTCTCTTTGATGCCCCTCCTGCCAACACGCTTGTGAGAGCATATATGCCGGAAACCCCACAAACAAGACTTTCATTGTGCCCTGCCCCTTTCGTCGTCCCTGCGACGCCCCTGCTAAGCCTAAACCCTAAACCCTAAACCCTAAACCCTAAACCCTAAACCCTAAGCCAAGAAGAAGAATCCCTGTACGCAGGGTGTCGGACCTGAAGCTTACACTCCAAGGCCTTGTGATGCTGACGCCGAAGCTTGCAGAGCGCACGAAGCAAGGCGGAGTTCCATGGGATAAAGTGGCTATGTAGGACATAAGGGTTTATAGGGGTTATCTAGGGGTATATAAGGATTTATGTCGGGTTTACTTTGGATGGGCTCAAAGACTCTGGCTCAGGGTGCACGCAGGGTTTTGTTTTTAGGGCTTAGGGTCTTGTTTTGGTTTGGGTTTATAGACATGAGGCGTTTTGACTGAATTGTTTCGTTGCTTTTAGTTTGGGAGGACAATTCTTGCAGCTAGCTTGAATGGTTCAAATTTCGGGCTTTGAATCTTGGAGTATTCCAGGCACTACTCCCATCCAGAGCCCCAAACCCCACAAGAATGGCCTGCATTCTCCAGTTCAGACGTTTCCTCCGCCGCCAACGCGATCTCACATCATTGCAGTGATGGGGCGGGATTCGTTTCGGGCGCACTCGGCAAGTCTGAGACCAGACCATGGATCCCAAAAAAGTCACCTTGAACTTTTGAATGCTAAAGTCTAAAAAATTCAAGTGCTAGTAATAAAGACAGTAGTAGTAGTAGTAGTAGTAGTTGTTGTTGTTGTTGTTGTTGTTGTTGTGCATCATCATAGTCATCGTAGTAGTAGTAGTAGTAGTAGAAGTAGTAGTAGTAGTAGTAGTACTAGTAGTAGTAGTAGTAGTAGTAGTAGTAGAAATCGTAAGAATATTATCTGCAGTACTTCCATGGTTAAAAATTACAGAAATGTTTGCCTTTGATGTCCATTACTAATCAGTGTTAATCGTATTCAACACGCAACTCAAAGGTTCCAGCCTCATCTCAACTCCTAAACGCCAAGTCAACCCTGGCACCAGGCGTGTACTGCCACATCCTGGAGTTGGTTGAGGCTCCGGGCTTAGGTCTTATGATTATAGGGGATATATGCGGCTATGTAGGGGTATATGGGGATTTAGGGTCCAGGGTTTAAAGTTTAGGGTGGGACTTGTTGGTTTCTCGTTTCTTTTTGAAGCCCCCCTGTATCTCCAGGGTTCCGGCCGGCGTCTTTTTTTAAAGCACCCGGTTGAGGTGAACTTGGTCTTTTTGAACGAGCTTTCTAGTGTTAAGTTTCTTTGCTTGTACTTTGCGATTCTCCCCTAGTTCACACTACAGTTTACTGCTATTGCAGCCTGCTTCTGCCCTATTTTCATTTGAAGCAAATGACGATTGGCTCTCAGCGGCGGATTCCACAGCTCTTTAGGGCACTAGAAAGCGACATGGAGCAACCCTGAGACATGCACCCTCATGTCCTAAACTCAAACCCTCAACTTCAGCCTAACCATTCCCGCCCTTGAATCCACGAAGTTATGGGGGATGTTGGATCGGGTAGGAGTGCAGACGGATTTGTCAGGGTTCATGCAGAGATATATGTCGGACGGCGATCCTTGGAGAGCAGAAGGATGAGGGTGTTTTTGTTGGCGTCCCCAGCCCAGGACTCCAAACCCCAAATCAACATAGTGGAGACATGTGGAGACGCCTGCAGAATTACCAGGATTATTCCCTTGTAACATCTTGTAACCTGGTATAGCCATATTGTAATGAACTGAACCCCATCTTCTGTTCCGACTATTCAGGCCTTTGCATTCCTTCCAGACTCCCAGGTCCTGCATTCCTTAAACCTAGCAGCTCTACACGTAAGCATTGTCAATCGTTTATCCCTGATAGCATTCACCCCCCCAAACCCTTAATGTTAAACGATTTAGGTTTCAGGGTTTATGTTTCCAGCATGTCAAGCTTCTATAGAGAAAAACAGTGTTAGGGGTCTGATATCAAGGGGTGGCAATTTGTAGCAAGTGTTAAGTGTCGACCGAGTGCCAAAATGGTCCATTTCTTCATTTCCTACTAGCTGCTTGCAAGTAAATTTCGAACTTGGTTCCAAGTGCCTTCTGCCTAGTCTCAAGACATGCCCTCCACTGCATCATGAACACTTCCATGTTCTACATTCATGCTGGATGGCAAGGGGCTCTTACGGTTCTCCTAAACCCTAAACCCTGAACCCCCTGAATTTACAGGGAGCCTCAAGGGGGTCCCTTTTCAGCTGCGGTCCTTCAAAACGAGGCCTTGTAAGGGGGTTCCATGGATTAGAGAGAACAATAGCTTATTATAGTATATTTCATTATAGTATATCTTAGTATATTATGGTTTACTCGTTTATAGTATATCATAGTATATCATGGTATTATACCCTATTATATGCTTGCTTGGGCGCGTTTACCCTAAACCTTGCTGCCTGAGTTTCGCAAAGCATCTCCCACATGAATTAGGGATTTAAGGATTTAGGGTTTATGGTTTAGGGATTTAGGGTTTAGGGTTAAGCATCTCCCACATTATCCACCCTTTTCCACAACAAGCCCTCCATAATCCTTTTATATTCCCTGCACTTCCCTAGGATCATTACGGTCCCCCAACCCACCTTGAGAACTTCCCCAAAATTGCCAGGAGAAGCGAAAGGCAAATGCCTTTGCTTTGCACCGAAGGTCCGCGCCAAGTGAGAAAGCGTAGGACTTCTTAAGATTTAAAGGGGACACTATAGTCGCCAATAGAGACTAAGATGTGGGTATAGTGTTTATTTAAAAGAATAGAGTCATGCCTGGTTTAACCACAAAACACTACTCAAATGTCTGTGTTGGTGTTGCCAGACTTTTTGGGATTCAGGTATTCTAGGGACCCTTAAGAGTATATATCGGGTATATATTAAGTATATAAGGATCCCAAGGTTAAGGGCCCGTTTTAGGGGTCAGTATCTAGGGCCTTCAGCGTTTGTGGAGTTTAGGGTCTTGGGTTCATGCTGTGAGGTTCGGTGGCATGCAGGATTTGGGTAGTCTGGGAGTTCGGTTTTAGTAGTGAATGTTGTTGAAGGTTTTGGTTTGGACAGGGTTTGGGCTACATCGGAGCATTTCAGGTGTTGGTTGGCGCGTTGGGATTGGACTGTAGATCGTTGGCGTTATTTCTTGTTGATTTCGTTGGGCTATTTGTTAGGCCATGACTCGAGCGACAAATCTACGCAAACACATTGGAGTGTACACTTATTGGGGCTCTGTGCCAATGGATGGCCCATAGGATGAAATCAGAGAGACCTCAGCAACGCATTCTTGGAGAAAGAGCTTGGGTTGGGAACTGCTCTGTAGGGTTTCGGGTTTAGGGTGCCGAATGAGTTGAATGCGGACTGTCGCAATTCACCCGTTGCTGAATTTGGTTCAGGGCTTTAGGGTTTAGGGTACGTACCAATCGCCCCGAAAGGATAGATGCAGACTGCCTTCCCCACAGATTTGCAAAATCCAGTTTTCGGGTGGCCTTCGAGCAGTAAAGCCTTTTACTATGCAGCCAGACAGTGCTAATTGTCTTTTCAAGCGCCCTATAGTAGTTTCCATTTTCTTTTCCCTTATCCCTATATAACCCCTATATAATCCTATATACCCCTTTAAAGGGACCTAGGGTTTCCATTTTCTTTTCCATTACCCCTCTATAACCCAAATTCGACCAGACCTTGTTTGAGGCTTGCATGGGAATCCCTAAACCCTAAACCCTAAACCCCTTAAAGCCTAAACCCTAAACCCTAAAGCCTAAACCCTAAAGCCCTAAACCCTAAACCCTAAAGCCCTAAACCCTAAACCCTAAAGCCTAAACCCCAAAGCCTAAATCCTAAAGCCTAAAGCCTAAAGCCCTAAACCCTAAAGCCCTAACCCCTAAAGCCTGAAGATAGCGCATGAAGCAGAACCTGGAATCTGTCAGCTCGCAGCTACTCCTCAACCCTGCTAAACCCTAAACGGTGAGATCTGACCCAAGTCCCTAGTGGTTTAGGGTTTAGGGTTTAGGGTTTCAGGTTTAGGGTTTAGGGCTTAGAGCCCTAAACCCTCAATCCCTGAACTCTAAGCCCCTACAGCCTCAATCCCTAAGTCCCTTTGAAGTTGGAACTTCAGCTTCAAGTGGTGGTTTTCGTTCCTGGTTCCTTGTTAAAGACTATAGTTTTGGAGGGCCTCCTATTCGGGGAAACTATGATACATCCCCTAAGCCGCCAAAACCCTAAACCCTACATAAGCCGTATACACCATCCATATAATCACTAAACCCCCTATACAGGGACAAGTACATCCCTGTATAAACCCAAAATAAGCTATGGTCTTAACTCCTAGCATCCCCCTTTATAAGCCCTGTAGTAGTCCCTTGCATAATCCCTATATAACCCCCTTCTAGGAGTTTTGACCCTAAACCCTAAACCCTGAACCCTGAACCCTAAAACCCTAAGACCGTAAACCCTATACACTCCCCGATATATGAATATATATATGTATATACGTATATATGTATATATATATATATCCATATCCCCCCTTGAAGGATTTTTGACTACAGCTCACGTAACCTGCCTGGGGCCCTGGCGCTTCCAGCGCATCGCGCTCAGAGGCCAAGGCTCCCGTTACCGTCACGCTCCTGTGTTTAGGTTCAATTAAGGTTTAGGGTTTAGGGGTTTGGGGTGTACGGTTCAGTGTTTACAGGGTTTAGGGTTTGGGTTGTGAAGTTTAGGGTTAGGGGTTTGGGGGTTCGAGCTTAGGGTTTAGGAGTTGAGGGCCTAGGGTTTAGGCTTTAGGGGGTAAAAAGGTTTAAGGGTCCAAGTACCCAAGAGTTAAATACTATGGAATATAGTGATAGCATGTATAGTGCAGGCTTTATGTAAGTATGCGAGCATTACGTGCTTGCACCCTTCGGGTTGGGCTGGTGCGCCAAAAGCTTCAGTGTTTGGGATTTAAGGTCTGGGTCTCAGGGTCACAGATTGTAGGCGTCAGGATTGAAGCTGGGGCTCCTCAGTATGCATCCCCCCCAAACCGATACATCCGAATAACTGCTCATGAAGCAGAGATTGTTTAGGGTTTAGGGTTTGTAGGGTTCATAGGGTTTAAAGGGTTCATAGGGTTTAGGGAGATTGGAGCCCGATGTGCCAAGATCCTCCTAATACCCTTGAATTGGTACTTCGGCCCCTATGAAGGCTTGGTGGAGGGTGTAGGTACTCAGAGCCGGAATGGTGCCATGTGCTTGGGGTATAGCGCATCGTGCCTGCGTGGTTGCGGTGAACCAACACCAAGATATGGACATAATCACCTCGCTAAAATATCCTCAGCAAGGGATTCTATGGGGGGCATATAAGGGAGTTCAAAAAAAAATGGAAACCCCTAACAGGGGTATATGGGAGGATATAGGGGAGTGGAGGAGCAAACGGAAACCCGTAAAAGGGTGTATATTGGGGGATATGGGGGAGTGAGCAGCAAATGGAAACTGCCATATTATGAAGGGGTTCGGGTCAGGGAGGGGCAGACAATTTAAGACCCCGTTTGGGTTTGGGACTGATATTGTAACACCCCCTCCACCCCCGCACATGAAGTACAGCTCCCAAGTTACAACGTCTGTCATAGGTAGCATCAATATTAGGAGGTGAGGTTCCCGCGGCAAATTATGGGAAGGGATTCATGGCGCAACCATGCCTGACTAATGATGGACTCGAGCTATACACCCTAACCCTGTAAACCCTAACCCTTCAAACCCTTACTAAACCCTACTTGGAGGTCCATTGTACTTAAAACCTACTTAGTAACTGTAGTTATAACCCAAATATAAGCCCCATAACTATAGTTGCCCTAGATATAATTGGGTTATAACTACAGTTACTAAGTAGGTTATAAGTACCATGGACCTCCAATTAAACCCAAAACCCCTCAACCTGAGAGCTATACTCTGAGAGTTTGTCTCACCCAAGGCAGAATGCCAGGATTTGGGAAAATTTCGGGAAAACCTTGAAGCTACCCCCAAAGAGTAAAACCTAAACCCGTAAACCGTGTGGCCCACATTATGGGGTTCTTACTCCCAGCCTGAGATTTGCTTTAGCGTCCGCCTTAGGCCAACCGTGAAGGTTCAGGGCTTAGAGTCGAAGGGCCAGAAATCCCCTAAACCCTAGACTTTACGTAAACCCTACACCGCTGAAGAAGGAGGCTAGATTGCATTCTTAGGTCGCCGACCCTAATAATCAGGACACGTTGACTTCCTATAATCATCACATAACTAACTACCGTAGGGTCCTTCTTATACGGGTTGGATGGACCAGACATGTTTTTCAAGCCAGGCACCCGGCAAATGGGCAACATTGGTGGGCCTTCTGTATGGAGTTAAAACTCCGAAAGCACTGCCCCTCCGAACCACCGACCCTGAAACCAGAAAGCTGGAATCAATAAACCAAACGTAAACCCGAATCTCCAAACCTTCAAGTCTAAACCTTAGGTGGACCTCGCACCTGTGATATCGATGGAATAAGAATATGAGAAGGCCCTAATATGGTCACTATTACCTAAACCGCAAAAGTATGTAAAATAATAGCCCTAAACCCATAATAGTAGCCATAAAGGCCATTATTTTACATACTTTTGGGGTCCAGGTAAACCCTGAACCCTAAACATAAAC